CTATAATAATCAAACTTGTAGTCACATTAGGTATGTTTTCAAAGGTAAACAGGTTATTTTAGACAGATGATTTTCAAACACTCCAAAGACCTACAGAATACGGCATTTAAAGATGTTTAATAACCTAAGATTTTTTTCATGACAATGAGACACATCTGCTCCTGGCAGCATCAATTTACTTCATAAAACTATGATGGGCATCAAAGAAACTCCATTTTGAGTTTGCTTTCAACATGGCAAGGTTGGCCATTTGCCTCCACTACTGACAGTCTGCTGAACAAGGTGCACAAGCAAAGCACAGGAAAAGGACTGGTGAACTTTACCATATTAAGTAGGACAGTGAGTCCTTCGTGATTCCTGCCTCACAGAGTGCCATTTATTCTAGGCCTGTGGGGTGAAGACGGATGCCCCAACATTGCAGAGAAACTTTGGGTGACTGTTCAGGCAGCCAGAAGTTGCTGTTGTTAGGTAATATTACATCCTCCTGGGGTTTTTGATGGAGTTAAAGACTAAATAGTTGAGTTACACTTTTCTTTAGTTATGATAGTAAATTAGGTATAAAACTTTGGAATCGCTAATATAAGGTAGATAATGGAGTGTTTTCTCTGAATTTGCTGAAGACAAATAGACTGCATATTGTAAATGTAATTCTTGTTTTGTTGTACATAGTTTTACTATGTTAAAGCTAAAACCTTTTGGGGCTGGAGAGAGAGCTCAGAGGTTAGGAGTACTGACTGCTCTTCCAGATATCTTCAGTTCAATTCCCAGCAACCATATAGTGGCTCACAACCATCTGTAATGCGATCTGGCGCCCTCTTCTGGCCTGTAAGCATACATGCAGACAGAATACTGTATACACAATAAATAAATCTTGTTAAAAAAAAAAGCTAAAACATTTCATTTTTATTTACACAAATAGGGGGAGATGGGGAATATTAGCTTAAGATGTGTTACATTGTCTATGCTGTGGAATATAAGATGTGTTACATTGTCTATGCTGTGGAATATCCGTTAGATGCTGCAAAGATGCATTGTGTTCTTTTCTTTTCTTTTCTTTTTTCTTTTTGGTTTTTCGAGACAGGGTTTCTCTGTGTAGCTTTGGAGCCTATCCTGGCACTCGCTCTGGAGACTAGGCTGGCCTCGAACTCACAGAGATCCACCTGCCTCTGCCTCCCAAGTGCTGGGATTAAAGGCATGCGCCACCAACGCCCGGCGCATTGTGTTCTTTTATGTTGCATTTGTTTAACTCTGTAAAGCTGTGTTTCTTCGCCTGTCTAAAACACCTGATTTGTCTAATAAAGAGCTGAATGGCCAATAGCTAGGCAGGAGAGGGGGAGAGGCAGGGCTGCCAGGCAGAGAGAAGAGAAGGAGAGAGAGAGGATGCCAGGGGCCAGCCACCTAGCCACACAACCAGCCACAGAATAAGGAGGAAAGAAAAGTACATAGAATAGAGAAAGCCCAGAGGCAAAGTGTAGATGGGCTAATTTAAGCTAAGACAAGCTGGCCAGAAACAAGCCAAGCTAAGGCTGGGTATTCGTAAGTACAAATAAGTCTCCATGTATTTATTTGGGAGCAAAGAGCTTTAAAAAACAACAACTTCTACTACTACTACAAGGAAAAGTGGGGGTGCCATGAGAGATAGCTGTGAGAAAACCTCAGAGCAGCTCTCATTCTGTGTCCAACCCTGGCCAGTTCTTCACGTCTTTCCCAGGACACATGCACACAGCGTATACAGCACAATCCTCAATTCTGGAGATAGGGTATGTGTCTACCGCTTGCCTGGCAAGGATGGCACCATGAGACTGTGTAGCAACTGGAAGTGTGTGCCCTTTGGTAATCTGAGTTCTGATGGCTGCACAGGAAATATAAACTCTGAACTCCCAGAGCCCAAGCCCCACCTCTCTGTTGACTCCTGAGGTGTGGGTGATACTGTGACTTTGACCTTCTTTGTGGGGAGTATAAAGAGGTGAAATCTAGGAGCTAAGAGCATTTGTTGCTCTTGCAGAGGTGTGGCTTTGATTCCCATCACCCATATGGTGGTTCACAACTCTCTGTAACTCCAGTTCTAAGGGATCTGAAGCTCTCCTCTGACCTTCAAGGGCACTAAGCATGCACACGGTACACAGACTTACATGCAAGTCAAAACACTCGTACAGAAAATAAATCCAAAAAAATTTTGAATAAAAAGTGGCAAAATCTGTGGAGGCTTGATGGTGTACCTCTGAGGATACAGGTGATAACTCTGACTTGCATAATTTAAATGGGTGAGAGGCATGGAAGGTGAGCTCTAGTGAACTAAGGCTGTACACAGTCATTCAGGCTGCTCAACGTGAGACATCCTTCACACTGCCTGGGGGAAGGATGTGGTCATTCTATTCTCTCACTTTCTATTCTGGTGAACAGGATGAAGATCAGGCTGGACTTCCACTGGACTCAGAGGGCTTCCCGACTTGGGATTGGAAAAGGGAACCTCAGCCTGTGTCTGGAAGGCTGGGGCAATTTGGACTGAAGACAAGTGGTCTTGTGTGTATCTGGAGGCTCAGAACTGGGGGTGGGGGAATTTGCAGACACATATGACCTCGGCAGTGAAGCTCACTGGATGGAGGTAAGGCTGTGCTCTGCAAGGCTGTGATGGAATCTACACATCAAGTTCTGTTGGGGCAGCCAGGAAGTTCTCTAGCTCCCCAACCCCAACAGGGGTTACAGAAAACTTCCTGAGGAAATTATGCTTCTGTTGAGGTTTGGGGTTAAAAATAGATTTTTGTTGGGCAGGGTGCCCAATCTAGAACTTGTCTAGGGAGTCCAGGTTATGAGTTTTGGAGATCTCCCAGACCAGCACCCTTGTTGGTAAGTGAGGCTAAGAGAGGCAGCCAGGACCCCACAGAGACTACCCCAGGTCCTCACGGTAGTATCTATGCCTTACTGTCTTGCTTTGGGCTGACCTGACCTTACACCCCACACTGGGCTGGACATCTGTTCACAGGGGTCATTCATGAAGCTGATGTTACTGGATGCTTAGTGTGGTGTATCGCTTAGGGTCATTGTGAGCCAGGAAGCTAACAAAATCCATTTCCAAAAGAACATAGCATACTTGCTAAGCACCTGTGTGGGCCTTTGTGTAGGCATTGCCATGGTCTGAGAGGGATCTGTTGGCCTGATACTGGCCCTTTCTCAGGAGTGCATGGATTAATAAGCAGAGTTGTGAGCGGGTGGTGCATGAATACAGAAAGAATTGAGCTTCAGAGGTGCGGGTGGTGAAACTTGTCATGAGCTCAGCCTTTGCAATCCCTGGAATGCCCAGGGCTTTGGCAGCATGGTAATGTGATGGGAAGCCAAGAACCCCAGCACAGACCACTTGTGAATGACCTTCAAAAACAAGAGCACTGACCCTGCCTGGGGCCCTTTCTGTGCATTGCCTCCTTTTGACCATCAAGCAAAATACAGCAAGAACTTTGGCCACTTTATTAGCTGACTCTCCTGACAGCAGCTAACATCCTCAGTTTCCTACTCAAGACAGAACAGCTGCCGAAAGAGGGAGAGCCACTAGCCCAGGAAGGGGCCAGGAACAGCCCAAGGCTGTTAAGAGAGAGGCTGGCCCAGCTACCAGTCTGTTCTGTTTCTAGTTCAACATAAGGGTTTCTCTGATGGGGAAGATAGGTGTTGTTCATAAGTTTCTAATTTTTCATTAGAAAAATAGTAAATGAATTCTGTCAGTGAGGTTATTTTTACTAGTGTGGTCAAGTCTGGCTCTGACTCCTGGACTGAGAAGCTGAGCAGTTCCCAACTACCCACCACTCAGGGGCCACTGGTTTGTTTGCCTTCTGGTGTCTTCTGTCTCCAGCCATGCTGTGTAATGCTCCCCCCTGTCGTGACTGCCAGCTATGTACAGGTAGGTACTACAGCACCACCAAAAGGAAGGTGGTGGAGCCAGGAGAGTAGAAGAGCTATGAGCTCCATGTGTTCCTGCAGGGCAATTGCTGGACCGCTTTTCTCGCCCACCAGCCAGGAGTTGCTCTGAGGTGTCACCTGTGCTCCAGACCCCTGTGCACAGAGTGGTGTGGATGCTAGCTGTCCAAATATGAACATTAAATTGATCTGTGGCTCTGTGTTTCTAGCTGGATGGGGTGGGCCGGCCTAGAGAGCCATCTACTTGGGAAGCTGGACCCTAGTTTGGGTGCACCTCCTGTGTGGTGGCTTCTCCAAAGGCCTCCCCAGTGGTCAGAATGGACAGCCAAGTCTTGGGAGCTGGCTATTAGCCTGGACTTCAGAATTCATGTTTGCATTTTCCGGGCAGAATATTCAAATCCAATACAGACCAGAAAAAAAATGTTGACATACATGGTCTCCAGGCAGCTGGCACTGGAGAGAGACCCGGGCCTGGGACACACACTCTACACCCTCAGTGAATTCATCATTTACCTTCTGCCCACCGTGGGTCCTAGGAAGACACTCTTCTTCCATCCTTGATGTGCAAGAAGGTGGCAGGCAGTGGCAGGCCACAACTACACATGTTCTGCAGCCCTCAAAGCCCAGGACTGACTGGTGGCTCCTAGAAAACAGTCTATTTGTGACCCCAGAGCCGTTCCTGGAGCTCCCTCTCTGCCCCGTTCCCCGACCTGCAAAGGGCAGCACTTTAGGGCCTTCCCCAGGCTGTGCAAAATCTTCCCCATCATGTTATTTTGGTCTATTTAGTGGTGTGTTCAGGGGCAGGGTCTCTGCAGCCCCAGTGTGGCCTCGAACTCAATGATCCTCCTGACTCATCATCCCAAGGGCTGGAACTACAAGACGTTCTCTACCACGCACGGTTTAGCTTCCTCAGATTTCTGTTGGACACAAACGGAGAGACCACAGAGACTAGACGTAGTCGTCCTGCGGCAGCGGTGGACAGTGGGACAGAGGAAACCGTTCTGGTTGCGACTGCGCAAGCCGTCAAGTATCCAAACCCCGCCCCCGAGCGCCGTGGCCCCGCCCCTCTGGGTTGCTAGGGGAAGTGACGTCACAGCGCGATGGCGGCGGCTCCTTTAGGCAGCTGAAGGGGGATTTAGGCCCGGAAGATCCGAGTCCATCCGCGGCGGGGAGAGGGTGAGCGGGGCCGGCAGGGGCCGGAGCAGCGGCGGCGGTGCTCGGACTGTCCCATCCGCCCCGTATTGAGGCGCTGAGAGCGACGGGGCAACCAGAAAGCGATGGTGAAAGCGGGGCCGTGAGGGGGGCGGAGCCGGACCGGACCCGCAGTAGCGGCAGCAGCGGCGCCGCCTCCCGGGGCTCAGACCCAGGAAGCGGCCGGGCGGGCAGCA